GGAAATATTCTGCAGCAAGTGTGACACAGGCAGTGTGGCACCCAATGCTAGACTGAATATGTTTTTACGTAAAAGGGCCGATATTTTGAGAGAATGTGTGTGTTGGTGATTCACAGAATTTTGGTCTTTTGCCCAAGTTGCGAGTAAGGTAATGGGTGATTTACAGTAACTGACTTGCTTGGGATTTCGGATTCATGCAGGGAGAGTGACTGGGTGCGTGACTATCCCTGTTTACCTAATGTTTCTTGTAGAAGAGTGTTCTACTTGGAAATGGGACAACTTTGCTTTACCCTGAATACTTGGGAATGAAAAAGAATATTCCTTTTTAAAAGTGTGAGGCAAGAAAGTAAGTGCATTGAGCAATTGCAAATCGCCTTTAAAATTAAGTTAAGTTAGGGAATGTAATGTATTAAGTTATTACGCAGGTAGTTCCTTTTACACCCCACAAATCAGTAAACTGAAATTATTATAATTCTCGGTTTATTTGAAATATTTATAATGTATAAGTGCAGGTAAAATTAAATGCCGATGTGGTGTTGGCGATGCATCACGTGCATCTTTTTATTCTCCAGGCAAGCCCACGTTTTGTCGATGTTGAAATGCAGTCTTCCATGCAGTGCCGATGTGTCATTGGCAAAAGCCAATTAGTTGGCCACATATCGACAATAAGTTGAAAAGTTAAATGATAAACGTAAATGTTACGGTGTATATTTTCCAGAATTTCATTAAAATGTTTATTTTCTTATTCATTATAGGATAGGTACAAGGTGGATCTTTCTGTAATGCACGGAAACCGACTCCCACTTTTGCTGACTTCATTGAAAGGAAGAACATGGTTCCCGGGGATAACGTCACCATTCTACTTTTTGGGAGCCAGGGGTACAGCATTTGCCATGCATTGTGAAGACATGGACTTGGTTTTGATCAACCTAAGCCTCGGAGGTTACCCAAAAATTTGGTGAGTTACCTTACCTAAAGTTAGTAAATAGTATAAATTTAAACATATCATTTTGTACAATAGGTACGGGATTCCAATGGAACACTTGGCGCAGTACGAAGCAATACTGAAACTTCATCTTGGTGCAGGTGCTTGTGATGTGCCAGCAAGACACAAGCACTTTTTATTTGCGGAGGTGGTACGGGATTCCAATGGAACACTTGGCGCAGTACGAAGCAGTACTGAAACTTCATCTTGGTGCAGGTGCTTGTGATGTGCCAGCAAGACACAAGCACTTTTTATTTGCGGAGGGTTTCCTGCACAAATACGGGATCAAACCTGTAATTGCTGTCCAGCATCCTTGGGAAATGATAGTTTGTAAAGGATTCCCTGTAGTGCCACCGAAGTTGTGTCCGAAGTTGACCTTACAACGTCATTTGAAACGGGGACTTAAAACCCAACTAATGCCTTATCGTCGACACTTGACGAGAACACTCACTCATTACAATGTAATTTTATTTCTCTCCTCAAACCGCGATGATTCACTCAAAACGCGAATGTCAAAGTAGAATGTAATCCACATTTTTTCAACTTCCAAATTTACAGTAATGCATAAACACTTATTCCCATTCGTTTATTTGCTTATCATTACTTGTCGTGCTTGAATATCATCGGCGTTATTAAATGAAATTACATTTACCCCGACATACCATCGGCCAAATATTAAGCATGTAGCATAAATATCGCCGATGTAGTATCGGTAAGTATCGGTAAGTCTATTTCATTGCAAAAGTACGGCCGTATATACTTAATAAACAGGTAAACAGCTATTATTAAATAGTCCCCCATTTCCTTAAATAAAGAAAAAAATTAACGAATCACTTTATGTTTTCAGAACTGCGGTAAACATCCGATTTTCAATGGAACCTTTTGTTCGACGTTTACGACCATCTATGTACAAAGACTGGCTGATGGGAAAGATGACCCAAACCCCTGATGAGTGGACGCAAAGACGGGATTTGAGAGCGTGTGGGCTGAGTAACAAACATGTAAAAACCCCAACGCTCAGTGATTTGAAACTCACAAAAATGTAAGTATAACATGCTTTATTTCAAAATCTGAAAAGAAACGTTATGAAAAGATAAATTAAAAGATAAGATAAGAAACGTTATGAAAAGATGAAAAGATACGTGCTTAATTAAGTACTGCAACTTTTTATATCCATTAGACCAAGAACCGAAGCTGCCTGGGCATTAGCTGAGGACGTTTCACCGACAGAGGTGCATTTACTACGTTTGCTACAGGAGAGAATCAAGTTCTTGGATGGAAAGGTCACAGATCTGTTGGGTCGTGGGTGAGTTATACATGAATGAAAAAAGTCAAAACCAAATAGATTGATTGTGAACAATTCCTGTTTTTTCAGGCCGAACAAACCAGACACAGTGTCCTGTGATCTCCTAGATGTCATTCAGGAAGAAGCAGAAAATCGGATGATACGACGACTACAGGGTGCAATGTTGAAAGTGAAGCGGAAATCGAAAAAGAGAAGACGTCAAAGTGAAGAATCAACTGAAATCGAAGAAATCAGTATTTCAAATTACATTTTGAAAGAAATGGGGTTAATTGAAGTGTATGATAGTCAAACATGTGCTGAAAGGGCTAAGGCAGTGATGGAGAGAGAAGAGGGAAGTGTCGACAATGATGTTGTAGTATTGTTGGAGGATTAGGTTACTTCAAAGAAAAAGCGTCAATCTTTACTTATGTTGTTAATACGTTGTGACTTTTTTCAATGGCTCTGGTTTAGTTTTTATTCGATTTGAATAAAATGTTCTGGAATACATGTTAACATTTACTTGTACGACATTAATAAATTCTAGAAATGCGTACCAATTATACGAGATTATTTTCGTCATGCATTAATTGTTTGTATTCTTCCTTCTCCTTTCAGAAAAGTTATTTTAAAACCGCGGATACAATGACTACAGATATTCCAACATTCCCTTTGGAAGAGAGGCTACAAATCAGTGAAATAAATGAAATGCCTCAAGT